GTATGGTGGTGTGTGCCTGTAATCCCAGCTACTCGGGAGTCTGAGGCAGAAGAATCGCCTGAAGCCAGGAGGCAGAGGTTGCACTGAGCCGAGATCGCGCCATTGCACTCCAGCCTAGGCAACAGAGTGAGACTCCATCTCAGAAAAAACCAAAAAAACAAAAACAAACAAACAAAAAAAAAAACCTAAGAGGAAACAGAAATGAATCAGAAAGAAGAAAACTTCACAGAAATCCATCATTACTATCCTAAGAGAGATACGTGAAAATAGTGCACCCATGAAACAGGAAGCAAATGCTGCCAAAGAAGAGTCTTTCCTTCACACAAAGAGGGCCACCAGGCATTACAGGCATCCAGAGAAAAGAGCACACAACCATGATGAAGTAATCTTGCCCCTCCTCCAAACCAAACCTGAATCTGAGTAAGTCTCTAGATCCAACTACTGAACAATTTATAGGAAATACTTCAACTACACTACAGAGATGCAGTCATCAAGATCCAGGCTGTGGAAGACTCTGACAAACAAAAAAATGCATGAGAAAAATGGAAGATGGGAAGGGATTATGTAAATTTTTTTCTTTTCTCTTTTTTTTTTTGAGACACGGTCTCACTCTGTTGCCCAGGCTGGAGTACAGTGGGGTACAGCCTCAACCTCCCAGGCTCAAGTGATCCTCCTACCTCACATTTCCAAGTAGCTAGGACTACAGGCGCATGGCACAGCACACAGCTAATTTTTAAATATTTTGTAGAGATGGGGGTCTCGCTATATTGCCCAGGCTGCTCTCAAACTCCTGGGCTCAAACAATCCTCCCACCTCAGCCTCCCAAACTGTTGGGATTGCAGGCTTGAGCCACTGTACCTGGTCTTAAATTTCTTTTAATCTATACAATCCCAGGTGAGGCATGGTGGCTCACACCTGTAATCCCAACACTCTGAAAGGCCAGGGTGGGAGGATTGCTTGAACCCATGAGTTTGAGACCCTGCCTCCACATAACTGGGTGTGGTGGTGGGTGCTTGTAGTTCCAGTCACTCAGGAGGCTGAGGTAGGAGGATCACTTGAGCCCAGGAGGTCGAGACTGTTTGGCAGAAACGAAAAATCTTTTTTCTTCTTTTTTTCTTTCTTTTCTTTTCTCTTCTCTTCTCTTCTCTTCTCTTCTCTTCTCTTCTCTTCTCTTCTCTTTTCCTTTCTTTCGATGAAGTCTCGTTCTGTCACTCAGGATGGAGTGCAGTGGCACGATCTCAGCTCACTGCAACCTTGGCCTCCTTGGTTCAAGCAATTCTTCTGCCTCAGCCTCCTGAGTAGCTGGGACTATAGGTGTGCACCACCATGCCTGGCTAATTTTTGTATTTTTAGTAGAGACGGAGTTTCACCGTGTTGGTCAGGCTGGTCTTGAACTCCTCACCTCAGGTGATCCACCTGTCTCAGCCTCCCAAAGTGCTGAGATTACAGGTGTGAGCCACTGCACCTGGCCTTCTTTCTTTTTATTTTCACTGTCTCTGAACACAGAAATGAAAAACCTGACAGAAAGATTGGAAGACAAAGTTGAGACACTCTTGCAGAAAAATAGAACACAACCAAAGACCTGGACAGTAGGAAAGCTTAAAAAAAGTGAGAAGACTAGTCTAGGAGGTCCAGAAAAAAGTGAGAAAACACTCCATTGGAATGTAAGCCCCATGAGGGAAGGGACTTTCTTTCTTTTTTTTTTTTTTTGTTGTTGTTGTTGAGACGGAGTCTCGCTCTGTCGCCCAGGCTGGAGTGCAGTGGCCGGATCTCAGCTCACTGTAAGCTCCGCCTCCTGGGTTTACGCCATTCTCCTGCCTCAGCCTCC